TAATTTCTCTAAAATTTCTCGGAATTCACTAAAATTTTATGAGAATATCCACGTTCATAACAGAAAATTTTTCGAAAGTCCAATGAAACTTCAAGGAATTTTCAAAATTTAATTTATTTTCATAAGAATTTTTCGGAATTTCACTGAAATTCTCTTTTAATACCCAGGAATTTCTGAGAATATTAATGAAGTTTCAAGTAATTTCTTAAAAATTCATCGAAATATATTGAAATTTCATGTTATTACATGGTAATTTTTCGGAATATCACCGAAATTCCATGTTTTTAGCTGTAAATTCCTCGGCATTACTAAAATTCAGTAAAAACTGAAATTTCATGTTGGGAATTTCGGTGTAATTTCATGTAATTGTTTTAAATTCCTCCATGTAATTCATTTAGGATTTCGTGTAATTCGATCGGAATTTCACTAAAATTTCAAGTAATTCGAGAGGAATTAAAATTTAATGTGAATTCTATGGAAACTCCGCAAAAATTTCACATCTAATTCCTTTTTCAGAATAGCATAATTATTCTACCGAAATTCCACTAAATTATGGAATTCTGAGATTTTAATAGATTTTTAGGGATTCCAAAGGATATTTGGGAATTTTAAAGGAAATATTTTTCAGAAATGTCAATGATTGGGTTTAAAATAACCTATAAATCGAAATTTGATAAAAACATATGGCAACGCTGCTCATGATACAATAAACGTCAAAAAATTGAAATATCAAAGTAGGCCTTGGTTTTTTTTGACAGTCGATATAAAATGGCGTCTTTTTGTTTCAAAGATTACGATCCGAAAAGCCGAAGTATTAAAATCAGTTAACAATGAACGGGTTCGTATAATTCCGGACCTTCGGGCTCGTATAACCTCGGACCGTCGGGCTCATGATGAAAATAACTCCGGCCTGTCGGGTTCGTATAACTCCGGCCCTTCGGGTTCGCATGATTCCGGCCCTTCGGACTCGTATAACCTCGGCCCTTTGAGCTCATAATTGAGATAACTTCAGCCTTCCAGAATCGAGATTCGAAAAAAAAACATATGGCAACACTGCTTACAATCCAACAAACGTCAAAAAATTGGCCCTGTTTGGCTACTTTTACGTATTCGCCGAGGCTAAATCTATATGCCCATGTAGGTTTTTTTTTTAATTTTGACTGTCAATGTCAAAAATTTTTACCTTTTCTTTTTTTCAAAAAACAAATGTCAGAAAACGATCCTCAGGCTCCGAAAAAAAGAAGTTTCATCGATATATGTCAAAAACCAACCGTCTGGCAACGCCGAACGTCTTTTTTGACATATGTTAAAAAAAAAATGGTACTTCCTACGTATTCGCCGAGGCTTAATCTATATGTCCATTAAAATTTTGACAGCTGTCAATCTCAAAAAAAAAATATCTTTTATTTTTTCCAAAAATCAAAGGTCGTTTTTTAGTGGGTTTTAGGGTGAGATTTATGTAACAACATGTAGCAACAGTTGGTATAAAAAATTCAATTTCCCTACGGGTTTGGAATTCGAATTTTTGAATTTTCGCGGCTCCTGATTGGTTTGGGGATTCGAATTTTGTTTATTCCCGGCTCTTGATTGGCTTTAAAATAATTTATAATTTCGGCCCTTCGAGCTCGAGATTTGAAAGAAAAACATATGGCAACACTGCTCATGATACAACAAACGTCAAAAAATTGAAATTTCAAACCTTGAGTTTTTTTGACAATCGATACAAAATGACGTCTTTTTGTTTCAAAGATTACGGCCCGAAGGGCCGGAGTATGAAAAATCAGTTAACAATGAACGGGTTCGTTCGGATAAAACTTTTGTCGCACGACACTTTGGCAATATCGACAAATGTCACCTGTCAAATTTGACACATGTTCGACTTTTTCCCCGCTCTACTATAAAAGCTACGAAAATCAAACCCCGGTACAAGGCAGTTTCGCGACGCTAACTATCGATTTGTGTCAAAAAAAATTGACAGCTGTCAACGTCAAAAATGTCTTTTTTTTATTTTGCGAATTTTGAGAAAAAAAATTTATAGAAAACGATCTCCGGACCCCAAAAACCTTAAATAAAAATTCCAAAAAAAAGACCAAAGAAAATCACATTCCAAAACCTACTTGATAAAACTAAAGTTTTTCTCACTTACCCCGTTAAAACACTGGAAATTTTTGATGGAAAATGAAGAAAACTCAAAGTCTCGTACTTTAAATCGGTTTTTCCGACCAGAAAAGCCCTGGAAAAGCGGACAAATTCAAAGAAAAACTTCTAAAAATGACATTCCAAAGCCTACTCAATGAAATTTGAGTTTTTGTCACTTACCCCATTGAAAAACTGGGAATTTTTAGCACAAAATGTAGGAAATTCAAAGCTTCGTATTTCAAATGGGTTTTTTTGATGGAAAACGGCTTGTAAAAGCGGAAAATTCGAGGAAAAACTGGATAGAAATGTAAACACGTCAATTAAAAATTGCCGACTGTCAAAACTGGCAAATGACATTTAGTACAAAACCTATTTGAAGTTGGTACAAACGGTGTTGCCACATCAAAACTTTCAAAAAAACCATTTTAAATGGGATTTTGTTATTTATGTCATTTTAAAACTGGACATTTTTGCTAGAAAATGAAGAAAACTCAAAGCCTCGTATGTTAAATTGCCTTTTTCAATTGAAAAGCCTTGGAAAAGTGAAAAATTCGAGGAAAACTGGCAAAAAATTACAAGGCGTCACTTCAAAATGGCCAACCAAAAGCAACGTTGCCACATCTCATTTCGGAAAGCATAAATAACATTTTAAAAGGGTTTTTTGTTTAAAATTCAATTTAATAATTAATTAATAATGATTATAATAATTAAAATTCCCCAAATGAATCATAGGAAACTTGTTTTTAGTTTAATTTTAATGAAAATGACATTACAAGGTTTCCTTATTGATTATAGTGAGTAAGATAAAGACAATGATAAAGTAGTATATGTTTGCAAAAACCACAGTTTTCTGAAAAAAGTAAAAATCTTAAGAAAACCAACATTCCAAAGCCAATTTGATACAACTAAAGTTTTTGAATATTCCCGACTCTTTGATCGGACGCTAAAAATCGCATTTTAAATACTCCCGGTTTTTGATTGGCTCCAAATTATCCGCTGACCAATAGAATTATAAACTAGGCCCCGCGATTAAAATAACTCTAGCCCTTCGGGCTCGCGTATAACTCTAGCCCTTCGGGCTCGTATTACTCCGGCCCTTCGGGCTCGCATATAACTCCGGCCCTTCAGGCTCGCATATAACTCCGGCCCTTCGAGCTCGCATATAACTCCGGCCCTTCGGGCCGGTATTACTGATGAGTATCTCAGATTCACAGATATTTGTCGTGGAGGCGCGGGATTGATTGAAATAATGTCAAATTTTTCTAAATTTCATTGAAATATCGAAAATTGAAAAGTGTAATTTGTTAATTAATATTTTAATTAGAAATCAGGAATAAAAAATTGAGATTGAATTTTCAATTTTTTGGTGGAGGTTTAGCCTCCCCTGCCTCCTCTGACGAGCCGCCACTGCATTCAGAATTCAGCAAAATTGAAAAATTGATAAATCACCCCAAATTGCTTAAGATTTTTATTTCTGAAAGTATAGGTAAGTCTAAATGAGCTGAAATTTTCAGGGATTTTAGTTTTCTATCTCATCAGAATAGTAACATATCTATCTTAATTGAACATTATTGGCGCCATAGGAATATAAAACGCTACATTTTATTGGATTATGTATTTCTGTCGCATCAAGAATTTGTTTATTTCAATTTTATGTGCTTAGCATGTGGGTCAGGTTCAAGAGAAAATATTCAATGTTAACCTGAAGAATTTGGGTTTCAATAACGACTTGGTAGAAAGGTGCATATAAGACTGTTCTAGTTCTAATTAAATCTTTAAAAATTTCTTGATTATCATGACTTTAGAAATTAGGAATAATTCCCACAAAAAAAAATTGTAGGTACAGAAGAAATTAATTTAAAAAATCTCTCTACAATGTTTGTATTTTTCATTATTTGTTTTCTTGTATAATAAGGAGGAAATAGAATGAAATTATACAAGAAATCAATATCAATATTGAACTCATTTTGGTATAATATGTTTGTAATACACTTACTACAACCTTTTAACTTAGATCCATATATTTTCTACCAATTTCCGTCAACCCATTTTACACGGTCCCATGCCTTTTATACCGATGCACACCAACAACAAAAATCTATCGTGTTGGAGTCCAATTTACAAGTACGATTGTCCAAAACCGCAACTGGAGCGAATCTAATGAATATTTATGCTAATTCGTTGGTATTTTTGCTTTATAAACACACGGAAACTGTAATTTTTTGTAAATCCTTTTTTATATTGTTCTAGTTTTGAGTAACAAAAGTAAAAGCTATATATAAAATGATTAGATATTATTAAACATCAATTGCAGAAATTAAATCCAAATCTGTATTAGCAGTTTTTGTATCAAACAACCTGCAATTTAAGATGAAAGCTATATACTATATACAGTTGAGGAAATAATGCTAAGAAAATTCTCAATCAGTGTATTAATAGAATTAGTTTGCACCACATCGGTTCAAATCTAAATCGTAATAATGATGGTAGGTTGCTTTCTAATGTGAAACGAAAGCATTTCTGGTAATTGCCTTGACTTTATAATTACTACACCAAATTAAGAAATTGTGAATGAATAAATCAATATTTTTGAACTATTTTCGGCTCTTGATCACTTCTAGAGAAATTTTTCAACAAATCAAAAGCGATATTTATCACAATTTTAATTATTACCGGCTCTTGGTAATCTAGAAATTTATAAAACTTCCTTTGTTCCTTTGAGATCTTATTCTTGAAATCCAGAATCCAGATCCACTATATCAAGAATCAGTAATAATCAATATTTGAAGTATTTTGTAGGACCTCTAGAGTCTTTCTGGTATTCGAATCATTCTCGATGAGATTTTTTTTGTTTGTTTCAGACTGAAAATCGAGCTCTGAGACTGAAAGATGAATTCCTTCCCGTAGAAAATCTAAGTCCTTCTATCCCACCAGCTTACAACACCAACAACCACTATGAACTTCCATCGGCCGAAACAAATTTTCCGATGGCATCTCAGTTTACGGAAACTACAGACGGCAGGTGAAAATTAAATTGGAAAAACCCATCATTTTAATTAAGTGCTAATTTTTCCTATAATATGCAGATTATCGTGGAATTATTTCGACGAAAGCGGATACATTGCCAGAGGCGGATTGAGGAAAGGAGAGGATCCTTACATGAGGAATAGGTTTAATCAGCAAGCCAGTGATAGTTTACCTAGTAATAGAGATATTCCTGATACAAGAGATCCAGCGTAAGTATTTAAATACACTTTCAAAAGCAATTAATAATCGATTAAAAGTGTAAATACTCGTTTAGTATAGCTGCAAAGAAAGTAAGTTAATGATCATAAATTGAATCAATTTACTTTCGTTCGATTGCATAGTTGGTGCGAAACAAATATTTTCTAGGTATGTAGAAATTGATGCAAAATACTCTCTCGCAATTAAACTAACGGGTATTTGAATTTTGGATCCGTTCTAGGGAATTTTGTTAATTTCTTCTAGTATTATAAGTACCTACATAACTTTATTTTTGTCTTAGATGTCGCAAACGACATTGGAAAACCAACCTCCGAGCTACAAGCATAATCATAACATTCCATAATGAGGCCAGATCGACTTTACTCAGAACAGTAGTGAGGTAAGTACATAATAATTATGTTTTACATAATTCTGAGTTTGTTGTACCTGAATTATGTTTTGTTGTGTCAATTACCTAATTAGTTTTAGTGGGTAGCAGATAATTACGCTGGTATATATCTTTTTGCTTTTATTAACGTAGATTTTGCAAGATTTGTGGGAAGATTTCAAATACGAACGGATAACTTTCAAGGATGTTCCATAATGTAATGTTTACTTCTAAATTCAGCAGCTAAATTAGTAGATCCCGTTCACTTTTCGAGTGGCATTTGCCTATAAAGAAGCACTTTTAATGTCAAGGCGTTTTTGTGACATTAATTGCAAATATTTCGTTCAAAATTTACTCCTGTCTCATCGGATATAATTAGTTAGTGAATTATTTAGAAATCTTAGTTCTTGTCTCAATTCAAGTAATTAAGATTAGGAAAATTTGAAATTTTGATATAATGAGCTCTTAATTTTCCTCTTTTCATCCTGAAAGTTTCATAATTATTCTCCCTTCAGTAGTTTTCCAGAAAAATATTAAAATGTAAGAGAGAGAGAGAGGCATTTTTTCTTAATTTAGATTTTGCAAGTTGATTTTCATTAGTTTTCCATGGTGTTGTTTTTCACTGGAAAATTTTTACATTTTAGTATAATGAGCTCCTATATTTCCTCTTTTTATCCCTAAAGTTTCATAATTTTCCCTTTAGTATTTCAGCAGTGAGCACTGAGTCGTTATATGATATAAAAATGAGGAGATTTTGAATTACTTGATGAATAATTCAGTTTGGGGTATGTTGATTGACCATTAGGATACAAAATCTTGACAAAAAAAATTTGATTTAGATTTTGAAAAGTCATAACTTTTTTTCTATTATAGATAGAAAGCTGAAACTTTCACTGAATTTTATCCCTTTGAAAGGACTACAATCCGTGAATATTTCAGCTCATTTGCATTTATAGTTCCTGAGATAAAATCGTGTTAAGGAATTTGGGGTGATTTATCAATTTTTCAATTTTTCTGAGTGCCTTTCTTCATAGATTTCGGCTTCAAATCTGAGAATAATTTAGTGTATGGAGTTTGGGGTATGTTGATTGACCATTAGTTTACAAAATCTCGACAAAAAAAATTTTCAAATTTCATCGATTTAGTAAGAAGGTACCTACCTTATGATTTAGGTTTTGGTAAACTTTGAAAGGTCATAACTTTTTTTCTATTATAGATAGAAAGCTGAAACTTTCACTGAATTTTATCCCTTTGAAAGGACTACAATCCGTGAATATTTCAGCTCATTTGCATTTATAGTTCCTGAGATAATATAAAATCTCTTGAAAGGACTACAATCCCTGAAAATTTCAGCTCATTTGCATTTATAGTTCCTGAGATAAAATCGTGTTAAGGAATTTGGGGTGATTTATCAATTTTTCAATTTTTCTGAGTGCCTTTCTTCATAGATTTCGGCTTCAAATCTGAGAATAATTTCGTGTATGGAGTTTGGGGTATGTTGATTGACCATTAGGATACAAAATCTCGACAAAAAAAAATTTGAAATTTCATCGTTTTAGTAAGAAGGTACCTACCTTATGATTTAGGTTTTGGTAAACTTTGAAAGGTCATAACTTTTTTTCTATTATAGATAGAAAGCTGAAACTTTCACTGAATTTTATCCCTTTGAAAGGACTACAATCCCTGAAAATTTCAGCTCATTTGCATTTATAGTTCCTGAGATAAAATCGTGTTAAGCAATTTGGGGTGATTTATCAATTTTTAAATTTTTCTGAGTGCCTTTTTCCATAGATTTCGGCTTCAAATCTGAGAATAATTTCGTGTATGGAGTTTGGGGTATGTTGATTGACCATTAGGATACAAAATCTCGACAAAAAAAAATTTGAAATTTCATCGTTTTAGTAAGAAGGTACCTACCTTATGATTTAGGTTTTGGTAAACTTTGAAAGGTCATAACTTTTTTTCTATTATAGATAGAAAGCTGAAACTTTCACTGAATTTTATCCCTTTGAAAGGACTACAATCCCTGAAAATTTCAGCTCATTTGCATTTATAGTTCCTGAGATAAAATCGTGTTAAGGAATTTGGGGTGATTTATCAATTTTTCAATTTTTCTGAGTGCCTTTCTTCATAGATTTCGGCTTCAAATCTGAGAATAATTTCGTGTATGGAGTTTGGGGTATGTTGATTGACCATTAGGATACAAAATCTCGACAAAAAAAAATTTGAAATTTCATCGTTTTAGTAAGAAGGTACCTACCTTATGATTTAGGTTTTGGTAAACTTTGAAAGGTCATAACTTTTTTTCTATTATAGATAGAAAGCTGAAACTTTCACTGAATTTTATCCCTTTGAAAGGACTACAATCCCTGAAATTTTCAGCTCATTTGCATTTATAGTTCCTGAGATAAAATCGTGTTAAGCAATTTGGGGTGATTTATCAATTTTTAAATTTTTCTGAGTGCCTTTTTCCATAGATTTCGGCTTCAAATCTGAGAATAATTTCGTGTATGGAGTTTGGGGTATGTTGATTGACCATTAGGATACAAAATCTCGACAAAAAAAAATTTGAAATTTCATCGTTTTAGTAAGAAGGTACCTACCTTATGATTTAGGTTTTGGTAAACTTTGAAAGGTCATAACTTTTTTTCTATTATAGATAGAAAGCTGAAACTTTCATTGAATTTTATCCCTTTGAAAGGACTACAATCCCTGAAAATTTCAGCTCATTTGCATTTATAGTTCCTGAGATAAAATCGTGTTAAGGAATTTGGGGTGATTTATCAATTTTTAAATTTTTCTGAGTGCCTTTTTCCATAGATTTCGGCTTCAAATCTGAGAATAATTTCGTGTATGGAGTTTGGGGTATGTTGATTGACCATTAGGATACAAAATCTCGACAAAAAAAAATTTGAAATTTCATCGTTTTAGTAAGAAGGTACCTACCTTATGATTTAGGTTTTGGTAAACTTTGAAAGGTCATAACTTTTTTTCTATTATAGATAGAAAGCTGAAACTTTCACTGAATTTTATCCCTTTGAAAGGACTACAATCCCTGAAAATTTCAGCTCATTTGCATTTATAGTTCCTGAGATAAAATCGTGTTAAGGAATTTGGGGTGATTTATCAATTTTTCAATTTTTCTGAGTGCCTTTCTTCATAGATTTCGGCTTCAAATCTGAGAATAATTTCGTGTATGGAGTTTGGGGTATGTTGATTGACCATTAGGATACAAAATCTCGACAAAAAAAAATTTGAAATTTCATCGTTTTAGTAAGAAGGTACCTACCTTATGATTTAGGTTTTGGTAAACTTTGAAAGGTCATAACTTTTTTTCTATTATAGATAGAAAGCTGAAACTTTCATTGAATTTTATCCCTTTGAAAGGACTACAATCCCTGAAAATTTCAGCTCATTTGCATTTATAGTTCCTGAGATAAAATCGTGTTAAGGAATTTGGGGTGATTTATCAATTTTTAAATTTTTCTGAGTGCCTTTTTCCATAGATTTCGGCTTCAAATCTGAGAATAATTTCGTGTATGGAGTTTGGGGTATGTTGATTGACCATTAGGATACAAAATCTCGACAAAAAAAAATTTGAAATTTCATCGTTTTAGTAAGAAGGTACCTACCTTATGATTTAGGTTTTGGTAAACTTTGAAAGGTCATAACTTTTTTTCTATTATAGATAGAAAGCTGAAACTTTCACTGAATTTTATCCCTTTGAAAGGACTACAATCCCTGAAAATTTCAGCTCATTTGCATTTATAGTTCCTGAGATAAAATCGTGTTAAGGAATTTGGGGTGATTTATCAATTTTTCAATTTTTCTGAGTGCCTTTCTTCATAGATTTCGGCTTCAAATCTGAGAATAATTTCGTGTATGGAGTTTGGGGTATGTTGATTGACCATTAGGATACAAAATCTCGACAAAAAAAAATTTGAAATTTCATCGTTTTAGTAAGAAGGTACCTACCTTATGATTTAGGTTTTGGTAAACTTTGAAAGGTCATAACTTTTTTTCTATTATAGATAGAAAGCTGAAACTTTCACTGAATTTTATCCCTTTGAAAGGACTACAATCCCTGAAAATTTCAGCTCATTTGCATTTATAGTTCCTGAGATAAAATCGTGTTAAGCAATTTGGGGTGATTTATCAATTTTTAAATTTTTCTGAGTGCCTTTTTCCATAGATTTCGGCTTCAAATCTGAGAATAATTTCGTGTATGGAGTTTGGGGTATGTTGATTGACCATTAGGATACAAAATCTCGACAAAAAAAAATTTGAAATTTCATCGTTTTAGTAAGAAGGTACCTACCTTATGATTTAGGTTTTGGTAAACTTTGAAAGGTCATAACTTTTTTTCTATTATAGATAGAAAGCTGAAACTTTCACTGAATTTTATCCCTTTGAAAGGACTACAATCCCTGAAAATTTCAGCTCATTTGCATTTATAGTTCCTGAGATAAAATCGTGTTAAGCAATTTGGGGTGATTTATCAATTTTTAAATTTTTCTGAGTGCCTTTTTCCATAGATTTCGGCTTCAAATCTGAGAATAATTTCGTGTATGGAGTTTGGGGTATGTTGATTGACCATTAGGATACAAAATCTCGACAAAAAAAAATTTGAAATTTCATCGTTTTAGTAAGAAGGTACCTACCTTATGATTTAGGTTTTGGTAAACTTTGAAAGGTCATAACTTTTTTTCTATTATAGATAGAAAGCTGAAACTTTCACTGAATTTTATCCCTTTGAAAGGACTACAATCCCTGAAAATTTCAGCTCATTTGCATTTATGGTTCCTGAGATAAAATCGTGTTAAGGAATTTGGGGTGATTTATCAATTTTTCAATTTTTCTGAGTGCCTTTCTTCATAGATTTCGGCTTCAAATCTGAGAATAATTTCGTGTATGGAGTTTGGGGTATGTTGATTGACCATTAGGATACAAAATCTCGACAAAAAAAAATTTGAAATTTCATCGTTTTAGTAAGAAGGTACCTACCTTATGAT